TGTCTATGCAAAAAACCTGCTCATGAATATTTATAGTAGCTTTATTCATAATTGCCAAAACTTGGAAGCAACTCAATTATCCTTCAGCAAGTGAATGAATAAATAAACTGTGGTACATCCATATAATGTGTATTAGTTTCCTACAGCTGCTGTAACAAGGTAACCAAACTTTGGGTTTCTTCAATACCACAAGTTCATTGCCACAGTTCTGGAGGCTAAGAGTCTGAAATCAAGGTGTTGGCAGGATTGGTTTCTTTTGAGGTAGAATCTGTTGCATGTTTTTCATCTAGCTGGTGATGTGCTAGTGATCTTTTGCTTTCCTTGTCTTGTGGCAGTGAACTTCAATTTTCACATGGCATTCATATTCCCTGTGCCTTTGCCTTTGTGTCCAAACTTCCCCCTTTCATTAAGGCACAGTCACATTGGATTAGGGTTCACTCTAATGACCTCATCTTAACTTGACTGTCTGCAAAGATTCTTTTTCCAAATAAGGTCACATTCCCATGGGGCAAGGACTTCAAAATTTTGGGGGGAGCACAGTTATGCCCATAATATAATAGAATGCTGTTAAACTATTTCATTATTCCAGCAATAGAAGTAAATGAGACAAGCTACTAAGAGACACAGAAGAAACTTAAAATGCATATTGCTAAATAAGTCAAACTGAAAAAGCTATATACTATATAATTCCAACCACATGACACTTTGAAAAGGCAAAAATAGGGAGAAAGCAAAAAGATCAGTGGTTGCCAGGGACTCGGGGAATAGAAGGAGGGAAGAATAGATGGAGCACAGGTGATTTTTCAAGCAGCAAAAACACTCATATGATACTGTAGTGGTGGATACATGTCACTATACATTTGTCAACATATATAACACAGAGAACTTTGAGATATGTTATGGACTTCAGTTAATATTATTGTATCAATATTGACTTACCAATGATAAAAAATGTACCACACAAAAGGGAATAATAGGGAGGACAGGTGGGGAGTATGTGGAAATTCTCTACACTTTCTACTCAATTTTTCTGTGAACCTAAAACTTCTCTAAAAAATGAAATCTATGAATTTATTTTAAAAACTTTCCTGTGGAAGAGTGATCTAAGATAGCTCGTTCCATTTGCTTTGGTGGTCAAGAAGGGCCTCTCTGAACAGACAATCTTTAAGTGTGAGCAAGAAGAGGGTTCCCTGGTGAGTCTGGGATAAGAACGTTTTCAGTAGGAGGAACAGCTGGAACAGAGGCGCTCCACTGGGGACAAAGAGAGCGCTTGAGGAGCCGCCGAGGGAGGGGGATGCAGTCGAAGGAGGTGGGCAGGGGCTGGAGTAAGCAGATACTGTTTTTTTAAAAAAACAGAATATAATATCGATTTTATTTTGAGTGCAAGATGAAACTATGAGATGGTTTAATAAGGAAGTATTAGGATATGACCTATGTTTTAAAAAAGTCATGCTGGCTGTTGGGTGTAGAGAATGAATTGTGTGTGACATTGGAAGCAGGGAGATTAGTCAGGGTATTGCGCTGGCCCAAGCAAGAGGTGATGAAGGCTTGGACAAAGATGTGGCAGTGGATATGGAGATAAGGAGACCGATTTGGGCTGTGTAGGTAAAGGTAATGGAAAAGAGAATTTCTTGCCCTGTCAATGACACAGCCATGAATCTGGAAGTATGTGGAAACGTCAAATTGGTTATTGGCAGAAATCCATGCCCTTTACTGTTCATATGCCCCTTCATGGAATGAAAACTCATCTGACCAATTATTGCTTTAAATAAGTGAACCTCATAAAACTGCACATGATGCTTGGTTTTCATAATGTTTGTTGTAATAGAATTTGACTTGTACTTAAAATTCACTTCATATAGGCTTGTTTTAAAGCACTTCACTTTCACTTTTTGTGAGAATTTTTAATTACTGGAGGTAAAAAGAAGGTACCTCCTTCGGTAAAAAGAAAATATTTCCTTCAGTAAAAAAAGAAGTTAATACAACTGAGTGACTTTGTGTCTATAGCAACTCTGCAAATAAAAACACATTTCTGTTATTCAGATAGAGCAAACCACATCTAAAGTATAGGCAGCAATGATGGGGAGTTGATTAATATGATAACATAATACTGCCGAATATCAACCACAATCTGGCAAGGAAAAGAAGGGAGTTCTTGTTCTGTTTGTTTTAAAAACTATTCTTAAAATTGGCTGAAAGTAGCAAATGTGACAGTTTTTGGCCTTGATATTTTAAGATGGGTAGCAAAAAAAAAAAGCAAAGAGTGACCATAAGTAATTTAAAATATGACAAAGTAACAGAATTGGCATCATTCATTCCTAAAGAAGAAAAAGCTCAGACAGTAAATTGTTTTAAAGAAGTTTAGGAAAATTACTATAGTCTTTGAAACATTCTATAAAAAGGGATTGTTTCCTAGGGCAAAAGTCAGGGTAATAGTCAAGTGAACAAGAATGCCAGGAGAGCTAACTACTTTGAATAAAAAAATACTATCATATGATGATGTATTTGAATTGCATACTTTTTGATTTCTTAAATGAGTCTTTTCACTTTAAAAGTGTATACCTGATTCTTAAAAACAATTAAGCATTATCGGGAATTATATTTACTTAATGAAAAAGGCATAATATCCTTAGAACTCTTACTCACAGCATGTGACATCATTCACTTTTCAAGTCCATTAAAGGTACTTACATTTGTATTCTCAGTGCTGTCTGCGCTTACACCTGAAGTAAGCGAAGAGTGAAATAGTGGTTATAGACTGACCCACACTATTCTTTTATCGATTTTTTTGGCAAAGCCTTTCTTGATTTTGAAATTGTTCTATTTGCAAATACATTGTTTTCTTTGTGTAGAAGAGATCTAACGTCTATACATGAATAATTGTACTTGCTCTCAGCTTAATGAAACATTTTTTTAGCTCAAAGTTTAATAAACACAGCATTGTTAAACACATCATGTTTTAATAGAGAGGAAAAGGTGGATGTGTTACATCTGTTGTCACTACCCATAATTTATTTTAATTTCAAAAGTTCTTGACAACCAGATAGATAGTTACAAAATAAACAACTCCTACAAGTGTTACATTGCACTATCTCAGTTTCAGTAATTTTCAATTCAAAGTTTTAAGTAATTGGCATTTTCACCTTACATACTAAGTAAAACACTTTATAAACACTTAAAAAACCTGTGAAAAAAACTACTTAAAGCATTTAAAATGAGAACTACATCTATGTGTTTCTTAATAAAATAGCAAGGATATAAGCTATTGTAATAATGTAAACAAAAAGTCAGGCCTTTATTAGGCAGTTACAATAGTTATTGATAGATACCATTTTTTTCTGAAGAGTTTTTTGAGTTCCCTGATTAGGAAAAATTACTTTCTTTTTCGTTTACCAGTCTCTCATTCCTGAGAGGGAGGACCGCTGTGTAGACCAGGATGCAAATGTAGCATTGTGGGAGATAGAGGGGAGAAGACTGCGGAGAGGACTGAGAGCATCAGCCTTAACCTTGCGATTAACTCCAGCGCTAATGCAAAAGAGGGGAAGGAGACCCCTCTCCCTCCCCGACCCAGCACAGGCCTGGCGCAGAGCGATGTGAGGGATCCCAGAACCCCACTTGGTCAGCGGGTGGGGAGGGGAGAGCCTACTGTCTTCTGACTCTGGGAGGGCTGCCTTGTCTTTGCAGAGCACCTTTCCGCCCAAGTCTTTTTTGTTCTCAGTGCAGCTGGCGCCCTGGTGGCTCGATTTAGAGTAAATGATTTAATGTCCGTTAAACACATTTCCGTGGTAGTGATTTGTGGGATTGTGAAGACGGGCACGTCCTATACAGAACAAAAATATCTGCCTCTCTAAAGATACGGAAAGCTTTGTAAGTGGATAATAACGCGGGATATATATGCATATGGGCACGTTTGCATGTTTCATTTCTGTTCCTTATATAAGTTCTCCACCTAAAACTTGCTTCCTCCTCCATCCATCCATTACCTGCCACAGCGTATCTAATTTGTCTACCCTATTTGGGGCTGCACAGCTCTTCCTCACCACCGGCTGGGGAGCTGTGGCTTCTGCCAGCACCGAGTCAACCGGCGCGCCAAGGAAAAGCCGAGGGTGCGCAGGCAGGGAGAGTAAAGAAAACGCCCCTCTCCAGCTGGCCGCCTCCACCGCGGAACTCGGAACCCGCTAGTCTTCCCGGGCCCCCGCCTCCGAACACAGGGCAAACTTGGCCCAGAGACCCCGCGTAGGGACTGGAGGACTGGGCGGCTGACGGCAGGATGAGAGAGCGGCGCGTCCTGCGAGCCTCCCACCACCGCCACCACCGCTGCTGCCACTGCCTTGCTGTCTGCCCCTTGAGCCCCGAGTGATCGCTCGCAGCCGGGCACTAACAGCTCCCACTCCCAAGTCCCTGTGTCCCCAACTCCCACTCCCTGAGCCCACCGCACCCTCCGCCTCCTCTCTCGCCACTGCAGCGGGTGCAGCGATTTGGCGATTCCAAGGACTCCAGGCCACTCTCCCGGCACAGGCTGCATCTGGTTGATCTCCGTGCACAGCCCGCAGCTCAGCCCGAGAAGCCCCCACCAGACGTGGGGGACCCACGCCTGAGCATCTCTGCGCTGGCACTCGGTGCGCAGGCGGGGGGCGGGAGGAGAGGCGGGGTAGAGGGGAGTTCCTGATTCCCTAGCGGACCCTGGAAGTTGTCCTTAAAAATATATCTCGCCAGCCGGCGGCTGAGCAGCAGCCTCGTCAGAGAAGCATGTGGACTGGCTCATCGGGTCCCCTAAGTGCTCTGTGGCTGCCTCCGCCGCCAGAGCACCCCTTAACCGGTCGCCGGAGCCCCCACGGGGCGAGGAGCGGGGAGGCGCGCCCGCAGCGTCCTCTGCTCACTGCTGGCCGCTTCTTCTCGGGAGGTGGAAGTCACTGTTGCTGCTGAGGAGCCAGCCCGCCTTCCCACTGGCTGGTCGCCTGGTGAGAAGTTGAGACTCTGCACCTCCCGCCCGGACACACATGGCTTGTTACCTGGTCATCAGTTCGAGACATCTCAGCAATGGGCACTACCGGGGCATTAAAGGCGTCTTCAGAGGGCCCCTCTGCAAGAACGGATCTCCCTCTCCGGTAACCTGCGCACACGCTCACAGCCATACACCCACACTTGTGGTCAAAATCAATATAAACGAAAACAGATATGGTCCTGGTACATTGAGTGGGTGGAGGATAACTGCCTTACCCAGAGGAATATTGTCTGTTAATACAGTTTATTTGACAGGCCATTACACAGTGCGGGGGGGGGCGATGTTTACATGTGTATTTCAGCAGTTATTAGCATCTGTGGTGCTATGGGCGCAAATATTTACTGAATGCAGTCACCTGAGGTGGGGTGGGGACTGCGAAGGTAGCTCCCGCGTGCTGTATTAAGTTATGAATCTGCTGATTTGGGCAGTGCAGAAAGTTTGAGTGGCACTTTATAACCAAGCTTTGTAAAGTCAGCAGTTCGGATTAGTTTAATAACGCAGCTGTTACTTTATAAGAAAATAAACTTAAAGATTTTGCATCAGGGTACTGGCAAGAGGAAAGGGGTTGGATGTGGGAACTTGGACAAATCTAATGCTTAACCATGTAGGTCCTCTATGGAAAGCCAGAGAGTTCTTCGTGGAAATATGAATTGGATAGTTTGTTGTTATAAACAAATGTACTTTCATGCAATTTGAGTGATTACTACATAGTAAACTATTCAATTTGGTTTACTATTTGATTTATTTTAATATTTTTTGTAAAATAACTTTGACTAGAATCTATGACTTTAATATATTATTAATTTATTCCTTAGTACATACTACATATAGACTAATGTTTTAAGGATTCAGATGTGTTTCAAGAAAATATATGTGTTGTGATATATTTTAAAAAGTTGTGGATTGCTAGTGACTAAATGTCTAAACTTAACAATTTTTCCAGTTTAATGTAAAAACCAGTATTTTAAATCTTTATGATATAAAGAAGGAAAACTTAAGTTGCCTGGTATTTATTTAATTTTTTGTACTTTCCATCATGGTGTAATGCTTCATTAGCATGAATTATTCAAAACTGTAACATATTATAAAGATGTTTGATTGAGTGCTATATGTATGTGTGATTTTCATGAGAATTCAAATCAGAGAGAGTGCGAGTACCCAAAGATCACTAGGACTCCTAATTACAACCCAGTAGTGCCTCACATGCTTTTATGCGTGGAAAAAGTGGGTTGTCGCAGACTCCATACCCCCAACTGCTATATGGTAGTGAGTCAGAGTGTTAGCTGGAATATGCTGTTTGTATTGACATTTACAATTAAATTCACAGGATTAGAAGTCAGGGATAGTTTAGTTGAATAAAGCCTACATTCAATCCCGAGCAGCTGGTCAGAATCCTTCCTATTTTTAAAGATTGGGAGGATTCTCAGTATTGGAGTTTCCGCAGTCTTAGCAAACCACTTTAATGTTTAACACCCCACCATGTCAGAATCTTCCTTGTAGCAAACGTAAATCCTTCAAGTTCTTTTTTCAAGTTCATTTTGTCTTGAAAACAAATCTGTAGTGTTCCACCTTTCTCATAGGTGCTATTTTTTCAACCCTTAATAATCTCTGTGGCTATCTTCCAAAACCTTCTCTTTGGTGATGGAAATCTGAATTGGGTACTGTGTTGTAGTACATGTGCCTTACTAGTTCACAGGATAAAGGAAGAATCACTTCCTAGTTTCTACATTGTTTCATTTTATTTAAGTTGGTTAGAATATGTTAATCTTCCAAAGTCTAACGAGTTTGCAGAGGAAATTTCTGTCACATGGCCTAAAAGTGTCCTGCTTCCCCCACTATAGTCACTCACTTCCCAGGAACCTGACTGACCCACAGGGACTGGAGAGTTGACTGTGAATGTGGGAAAACAGCCCACACTCCTCATGGTTTCGCTGGCTGATCAGGTGCTCACACCCACAGGGAACTATTCCTATTAATACTGGGCTGGATTTTACTAAAATATTAATACATTTACTTTTAACTAGGAGCTATACTTAAACCCACTGGATTGTTCTATCCAATATTTACACATTTTAGTAGTAATTACATTTGCACCGTTTAAAAATATCTAAATTAGTTTTGGCTGGTGTAGCTCAGTGGTTTGAGCACAGGACTGTGAACCAAAGGGTTGCAAGTTTGATTCCCAGTCAGGGCACATGTGTGGGTTGCAGGCCTGGTCCCCAGGAGGGAGCATGAAAGAGGCAACCACACTTTGATGTTTCTCTCCCTCTCTTTCTCATTCCCTTTCTCTCTCTCTAAAAATAAATAAATAAAATCTTTAAAAAAGAAAAAATCTAAATTAGTGCAAATATATAGTTTCTAAACCTTATTTATTGTGTCTTCTTTTGCATTTTGCTATGGAATTTGAATGACTTTTTCAAGATTTGAATAGTTTCTCTCATGAGGTGGACAGTGTATAAAAAATTGATGTTCATCCATTCTGTCATGGACAGGTTATTAGGGAGTCAGAATTGTCTTCACATTACATAACACAAAGTCTTTCTCCCTAAAATAAATTGTTCACTATGTTCCATATCCTAGACCTTTGGGCATTAAAGCAATAGTTTCCTGGTTTACATGAGTTTAAGTTTGCCTTGTTCACTAATGAGTTGTGAAGCATGAAACTAAAAACTCTGGTTATAAGTTATTTCTTTTTTATCATCAGCATACACACCCCCTAAACCCTCAGGTTAACACCAATTTATTGATTTCCTTCATAAGCATAAATATTAAGGTAAATTTAGATCCACAAGATAAATTTATTTTTTCTTAAAACATATAGCTATTTTTATAATAGGTATTTCCCCCCAAATTTAGTGCCCAGAATGGTTTCAAATTTACCTTTATATCAATCATTAATTATTTTTACTCACTCAGTTTACATTGGATTGAGGATATTATTAGTTGATTTATTTCACTCTCATTAAATTCTATAATACTTCAGTTTTGGTTCTTACTCTTTTATTCTAAGAGTAAGATATTTTAATCCACATTTGTGCTTTAGTAGATCTGTTTAAAAGTAGCATGTAACACTATCGAATGACACCAATTTGTAACTTGGTTATAGAAAGGAGAAAAGCTACAATACTTTTTTGATGTAATAGGAGTTTCTTCTTTTGGAGTTATGATATAAATAAACCTAATATGATTTTAATACTTCAATGTCATATAGATATAATTCTTCAGTTATATGTTTAAAGTAGTTGTATACACTTATCAGTTCAAATCACATGTCTGCAGAATCTGAACACATGAGATTTAACTGAGAGTGCAAAAGGGAATGTGTGTATGTGTGTATATATGCACATACATTATATTTATAATTTCAAAGGGTTTAGACAACAGTGAATGCTTATGTGAAATTCTCATAATAAATACCTAATAGGATACTTGAGAAATAAATAAAGCATTTTCCTCCAAACAATTTTTGCAGATAAGCAAACTGAAAATCCTAGAGTGAAATTTAGCTCCCGTCTTCAAAGTAAACACATGCAAATGTCTTATCTGTTGCATCTCTCTTCTTTTTGGAACTTTGGTATAAAAAATAGCATACTGCCTTACATACTAATTAGAATGTGAATAATTGATTAGAGATAGTTTATGTTACTTGAAATCCAAAAATAAAGAAAAGAAAAACGACAGCAAGTATGGCATAGTGTTTAATGGTAGTCTTTAATTTTAGAAAACAAATTTGCATCCTACCACACTTTAGGATATTTACACCCTTCCCTATCAGAACTCTAAGAGTATGACCAAATGATGGCTTTTAAAATCACTGCAGTAGACACACACAGATATATATATACACACACAGTTATCTGTGCTCAAACATAAAAATGTGTACATTACTTTATAAATTTTTTTATCATCAAATATGTTGAAGGTAAAACTTTGTTGCAATAAGTGAAGTACTCATTTGGAAAACAGCCTACAGGTGAATTCATTTCTCTGTCAACTTCTAAGTTCTTCTACCATGTTTGAATTCAAGAAAACAAGTAACACCCTTTATATAGTGTCAAAAATATATTTGAATAGATTCTTGGTTACTTTATGTAATGCAAAAAATATTCAAATTTAGATTTGAGTATGATTCATTTTAGTTTAGTCTGTATGTGGTTAATAGTAAGACTATTATTCAAGATATCCATTGATTAATATTAATGATAATCATAGTTGTATATTTTATCTGAGGTACATGTTAAGCTTATTTCTACTCTTTTGAAGCTTAGATAGACTGATACTTTTTAAGAAGTGCTTGTTCCTGAAAGGAACTATCCAGAAATACCTCTTTCTGGAAATGCCTGTTGTTTTCCCCTAAAATATTGGGTGTGAAGGAAATTATTGGGATTTTCATCTGAGTCCTTGGGTCCTTGGATTTTTGTTGTTGTTGTTTTGCTTTGTTTAGTAATTCTATCCTGTTATATATTTGAATAGCTTAAAAGAAGGAAGTGGCACACAACTATTTTATTTTTAATTTTTCTTTTTCTTTTTTCAGGTATACAATTCTATAATACATCTTCTGTACATTGTGTTATATGTCCACCCCCCCAAGTCAAGCTTCCTTTCATCAACATCTACCCTACTTTACCTTTCCTACCTCCTGCAAACAAGCATTTAAATGGGCTAGACATTTCTATACAGCTCCCTTTTAAAAATTACAAATGCATATATATAAATGAAAGTTCTAGAGTAGATTATCTTAAGGGGGCATCAATTCAGAGAATGCCCGAAATGAGGAAATGAGTGCAGTTACAACTTTGTTTTTTCCTAATGTCTCTGATCTTCAATTGTATATATTTTCATTGTGCTTAATAAAAACATGTTAAACACATCCCAAATGCTCTCAAACTGATGCACTATTCATGTGCCAAAAATAATTACGAAGATATGCTCTCCCGTGGAGAAGTCACCTGCCTCCTGTTCTTTAATTCATGAATGCATAATACTGCCTTTCATATTGAAACTTTTAGATATTTTCAATAGAGAAGACTCAGTTACAATTTTTATAATACATGTTTTCTTTATTATGTCAAATATTGTATTAAATAACCTCTTTTCTTCTTA